AGGCTCTGCAGCAGCTCGGGTGCTTATAAAATGTTCATAGGGATGTTACAATATAATTTTGTGTTATAAATATGCCATTATAATTATGTAATAACCAAAATTTCAACCTAGAGTGTTTGGAGTTTTTTGGAAACCACGGTCGATTAGTACTTAATGTTTTATACACCTTCTGATAGAACAGAGTGTATGCCATGACTACAACTTTTATAGCTGTTTTGGTAATTTAAACTAATTTTTTCATATTATATTGTTGCATCCCTACTTCTTCAGTCAGGTTTTTTTGTGCTTACAATTTGTGATAACTGTGAATAACTGCTTACAGACACCCACATAGCGGCTGACTTTTCTTCAGCAAAAGTAGTTTTGATTAGAACTGTTTCAGGCCACAGAGAATCATTTACACATACTAGGATCATGTAGCAGGAACTCGGATCTAACTCTAGCCTTCTATTTAACACAAAAATCTGAAAAAGGAAAAAAAAAAAAAAAAAGGAGATGCGATCATGGGCTGCAGGACTCCGGCAAAAGGGTTTTGGAAGATGTGATTTTAAAATGTGTTTGTATGATCTGTTTGTTTACATTTCTTTAATAAAACACACTGTTTTGTGTTTGCTTGTAGAAACTTAATCAGCATTTCGAACCAGGTTAGCTTTTTATTTTGTACTTAAAATTCTGGTACTGACACTTCACAGGCTGAGTATAAAATGAAGTTTTGTGTGCACAATTCAAGTGGACTGTAAGCTGGTGGTATATTCAGTGATGCAGTTCTGAACTTGTAATGTATATGGCATGATGTATTTTTATCTTACAGAATAAATCAATTGTATATATTTTTCTCTTGATAAATAGCTGTATGAAATTTGTTTCTTGAATATTTTTCTTCTCTTGTACAATATTCTGACATCCTACCAGTATTTGTCCTACCGGTTTTTGTTTTGTTTTTGGTTCTGTATAATAGTATCTAATGTTGGCAAAATTGAATTTTTTGAAGTATACAGAGTGTTATGGGTTTTGGAATTTGTGGACACAGATTTAGAAGATCACCATTTACAAATAAAATATTTTACATCTCTAAAAGCCAGCTGAGTCTCTTTAACCCCTCTCATGTTCTGGTTTGAGCTCTGAAACTGATGATTGCTTGAAATTCACCCATGGTCTGACCCACATGTCAGAATTACCGGCACATTGACATAATCAACTCGGTTCTCTTCTCGAGAGTTTAGACATTGCAAATGGAGACTGTCTTCCTTGCAGTTGAATACAGGGAACTTGCATTTCACTTATCAAGGCCTAATTAAAAACATTCGTGGTGCCTTATTCCCTTGTGTGAAGTCCTTTCTTAAAAAAAGATTTTTAGTTGACTTGAGAGAGAGAGACGTGGATGTGAGAAACATGGATCAGCTGCCTCCTGCACTCTCCACACTGGGCACTGAGCCTGCAACCCAATCACATGCCCTGACCAGGAATCAAATCACAACCCTGAGGTCTGCAGGCCAACACTCCAACCACTGAGCTAAACTGGCCAGAGCTAGTCTATTTTGGGGTAACTCTTCATTTGCCCTCCTAGATTTATTCTATGTGTATATGCTCTATTTCTATAATATTTAATGTATTTAACATTTAAAGTGGTTACTATGAATTAAAATTGCTCAGAATCCCCATCAGGATTGTTTTGTTTTGTTTTTTTGTTTTTTTAGTGGAGAGGTTTATGACAATTTGTGAAGAAACCTGGTCTTTTATGTGTGTTTTTTTTTCTACCTCAAGTAAATTCTATGTGCAATGTGAAATGTTTTATTTTTTTTACATTTTCAAATAGGTGATATATGCAGTATTAGTTTCACATGTGTAGCATAGTGATCATATATCACACAGCGATCACCCTGAGATGTGCTAATCTGAGACAATTCATAGTTACTGCAATATTAATGACCATTTTTCCTGCGCTGTAATCTATCCCCGGACTTTCTTTTATAGCTGGCCATTCGTCCATCCTCCAAGCCCCCTGCCCTCTGGCACCATCAGTTTGTGTTGTGTCTAGGAGTTTGCTCGCTGATTTTGCTTTTTAGATTCCAGGTATAAGTGACATTATATGGAATTTGTCTTTCTGTGTTTGACTTATCTCATTTAGCATATTACCTTTTAGGTCCATCCAGGTTGTCCAGAATGCTAAGATTTAAGTACTTTTTATGGCCGAGTGATATTCCAATGCACACATGTATCACATCTTTTTTTATCCAGTTGTCTATTGATAGATACTGTGCCGTTTCCTTATCTTGGCTGTTGTAAATATCAAAGCGATGAACAAAGGGATGCATGTATCTTTTTGAATTAGTGTTTTGGATTTCTTCAGAGAAATACCCACAAGTCAAATTGCTGGGTCATAGAGCAGTTCTGTGTTTAATTCTTTTGAGAAACCTCCACACTGTTCTCCACAGTGGCTGCATCAGTGTGCAGTCCCGCCAGTGCGTAGAGGATTCCTTATCTCTGCATCCTCACGAGTACTTGTCGTTTGGTGATTTACCGATGACATCCTGACAGGTCTGGGGAGATATCTCAAGGTGGTTTTAATTTGCTTTTCCCTGATGCTTAGTGATACTGATCATCTTTTCATTTCTGTTGTCCATCTGGATGCCCTCCTTGGAGAAATGTCTATTAAATTCCTTTGTCCATTTGAAAAAATGTTTTATTGATTTCAAAGAGGAAGGGGGAGAGAGATATATCAATGATGAGAAAGAATCATTGATCCCCATGGGATGAAGCCTACAACACAGGTATGTGCCCCAACCAGGAATCGAATTATGACTGCCTGGTTCAGAGGTAGATTGTTCAACCACTGAGCCACACTGCCTGGGCTGCCCTTTTAATTTTTATTTCTTTATAAAGGTATTACATATGTATCCTTATTCCCCTATTGCTTCCCACCCCTCCACTCATCCCCTCACCCCCCCTGGTGTCTATGTCCATTGGTTAGGCTTATGTGCATGGTAACCTCTCTCCCTTACTCCCACCATCCCCTGCTTTCCCTCTGAGGTTTGACAGTCAGATTGATGCTTCTCTTTCTCTGATCTATTTTTGTTTGTTGTTCATTGTATTCTACAAATGAGTGAGATCATGTGATATTTATCTTTCTCTGACTGGCTTATTTCGCTTAGTATAATGCTCTCCAGGCCCATCCATGCAGTTGCAAATGGTAAAGTTCCTTCCTTTTTTACAGCAGCGTAGTATTCCATTGTGGATTGTGCTGCTATGAGCATGTGGGTGCATATATCCTTTCTGATTGGTGTTTCTAATTCCTTGGGATATATTGCGGGTGGTTTTTTGTTTTTTGTTTTTAGTGTGTGTGTGTTGAGTTGTGTGAGTTGGTAATTGTTTTATTCTAAAAACTTCTTGATGGAATCTTTAGGGTTCTCTACAGTATGTCATCTGCAGATATTGACAGTTTTCCTTCCTTTTCTCCAATTTGGATACGCTTTATTTGTCTAATTGCTGTGGCTAGGATTTCCAATACCATCTATCCTATATAATAAAAGGCTCATATGCAAATTGCCCCCTTGGGAATTCAACTGACTGGGAGTTTGACCACTTTCTATATGACGTGCACTGCACACAAGGGGGGAGGGGCGCGCAGCCAGGGGAAAGAAGGCCCCAATCAGCCCTGATTGCCAGCCAGGTCTATCTGTGCATGAATTTTATGCACTGGACCTCTAGTATATTTATTTTATTTTTTTCATTTTTTTATTAAGGTATTTTGCCCATTGAGTCTGTTTGCTGTGGGTTTATCATATATGGCTTTTATTGTGTTGAGGTATGATCCTTCTATTCCCACCTTGTTGAGAGTTTTTATCAGGAAAGGGTGTTAGATTTTATCAGATGCTTTTTCTGCATCAATTGATATGACTGATTTTTATTTTTTATTATTTTTTTTATTAAATTATTATCTGTGTACATATCTTACCATTGCCGCCTCTCCCCATTCATACCCTCCCTCCCCAGAGTTTTGTGTCCATTGGTTGTACTTATATGCATGTATACAAGTCCTTGGTTGATCTATTATCTCCCCCAGATCTCCCTTCCCTACCCGCAGTCCGCTTGTTGCTTTACTGTCTCTATATCTATCTTTTGGTTCATCAGTTTATAATGTTCTTTATTATCCATAAATGAGTGAGGTCATGTGGTGTTTCTCTTTCACTGATTGGCTTATTTCACTCAGCATGATGTTCTCCAATTCCATCCAGGTTGCTGCAAATGATGAGAATTCCTTCTTTTTGAT